CTAAGGCCGAGCTAGATTGAGCAGAGGCACGGGCTTGAGAACGGCGCGACCGGCGGATTCAAAGAAGGAGCGGCAACCACATGTGATGACCCTGGACTGGACTCCGCTTCGTCCAGGGTGAAAGCCGATCCGGTGATCCACAGTGCTAAGTTGATTTGAGACTTTAGTCTTTGCAACTTTACAGATCTTCTTTATGCACCAAGAGCTTGTAACGCTCCAAAGAGAAAGGAAAAATTTAAATCGCATCATATGCCCCCACTAGCGTTTTCAAGCATTTTCCAAAAGTTTGTCATCCACACTGAAATGTCAGAAAACATTAAATTTTCATTAATGCGCATGCATAAAGCCTCAAAAAAGCTCACTGAAACGATACAGATGGAACAGACATAAGTTATCATGCAGTTCTTCTAGCAGGATCATTTTATTTAGGAAAATATCTCATCATTCACTGATGCGTTCAGGTCGCACTCACTCACTATTGTATGGGTGATCTAAAACGCAACTGCCCTCATGTTTTGACGCAAACAGCAATCGCAAGTAAATTTTTTGTCATCTTTGCAGAACTGTAATATTAAGAGTAGGGATGCACCGATATGAAAATTTTGGCCGATACCGATAACCGATTATTCTTTATTTTTTCTGTTTTCACAATCCACAGTAAATGGCGTTTTCAAATGTATCTACTTTGGAGAGCGTTTTCAAAAAGCTCAGTTTTCCTCGACAAAAACGCTGTCTCAGTGTGGACGAAAGTAGAGCTGTGATTGTGGCAGATTTTTACCACCGCGGTGGCAAGAGGTAATATAGCAGTGTTATAATTTATATTAATTATATTGCCTATATATAATTTCTATATAAAAATTATATATACATAAATTATATATATGATTTATATGATAATTATGTACATATTAATTCAATTATAATTTATTATTATTAAAATATATTAATTCAATTATAATTTATATTTAAGTTTGAAACATAAAAAATAAATAAGGCTCAAACATCTATTAACAAACGTGTGTTTATTTTAGCACTTCCGTCACCGTCAGTGAACACGCAGCCTGCAAAACACTAAAATAAATATCAAATAAATAATACAGTTAAATAAGAAAGTAGCCTAAATAAGAAAGTTAAAATTTAAACAAACATTCGTTGCATCGCGAATCAAGAAATGATTTTTTCTCGAGTCAATTCTGAGCTTAGTTTTGAAAAGCAGATGGCGCTGCAGGCTTTAGAAACAGCCGTACTCTGCTTGTTTCCAAATCCTTACACGCACTGAACCTAAAATAATCATTCATAAAATTTTAAAAGGTTGAAGCGAATTACAAGGGTGTTCACAGTGGGCTGAGTTTAGATTAATCTGGCGTCATAAAAGCATTCTGAGCCAAGGTGAAATTACAGACTCAGCCGAACTCTTCAGCGCTCTTCTTGAGCATTTGAGTGTGCGGATAAAAACTAGATTAGAGCGCCATCTGCTGTTAAAATCTAAGCTCCGAATTAATTCCAGAGAGAATCGCGGCGCATTTAGAAGATCTCGGAATCGCGCCACTAAACGATTGTGCATTGATTTATCGTCGCAGCCCTAAAACCTACCTTGGCTTTTCTATACAGATTTAAAATTCTTTGACATTGTCCGTTTTAAGGGAGGACCTCATTGGTGTTATGATGTTTCCAGCTGCACTGTGCGCGTCAGATGGTGTGCTTGTTGCGCAAAAGCCGACATATGGCTTCATCCAAATTTATTGGTTCACCTCTCTAGTTTGGCTCAAATCCAAAATGTTCCCAGATCGGCGATCTGGTTTCCCAACAAGGTCCCATGCTCAACACAAAATGAATTTGCTGAATGCAGAATAAACTGGATTTTGCCATGCTCAAACCCACCGTTGTGAGACACTGGACGTGACAGTTGTCGTGACCGTTAAAATCATTTGAAGTTTGTGTCAGTACGTCATAAATTAAAAATAATAACTATAGCTATAAAGTTTTAATTCTCTCTCTAATTCTGACAATAGCAACAGCTATAACAATAACAACAGAAAAACTGCATTCACTTTTAGAAAGTTTTTTTTTCACCTAATGAATGACTAAAAACATTGACAACCAATCAAAATCTGCTCGATTTCAAAGAGCTCAAAAATTAAGTATCAGATTACAAAACTGCAGTGTGCGTTTATAATAAACAGAACATTATTGTCCATTGCATCATGAAAATAATATGCTTCTAGAATTTTTTAATTTGCTGAATGCAGAATAAACTGGATTTTGCCATGCTCAAACCCACCGTTGTGAGACACTGGACGTGACCGTTGTCGTGACCGTTAAAATCATTTGAAGTTTGTGTCAGTACGTCATAAATTGAACGAGGCATCTGTTTACTGTTGGGGATTTGTCGTGCCGCGCTGCATCCACTGTAGACAGCATCACTGATTATAATGGGTTCTATTGTATTTTGCCATGCCGCTCGTATCCGGTGTAGACATGGTGTGAAGGAAACGCTGTGTATGGCGTTTGAGGTAATTTGTGAGTTAACATAGCCTTATAGTCTAAATAAAATCATTTACAGCTATATGCTATAAATACCGAATTCTATTTTAACTGTTACTATCATCATACTTGTAAACAAAACTTTGTATTTTATGCTTGTTATAGAGTGTGTGCACTACTGCCGGTGGCAATGGACCACCAAGGTGGCACGGTTGTCATGGCGACCGTCACAGCCCTAGACTGAAGGTCAAAACGGAGAGAAAAAGATGTTTTCAAACGAAAACATATTAGTGTGGACAAGGCTTCAGACTACTCGTGTGAGTTGATAACTTTTTTTTTTTACACTTGCAACTTTGGATGAAAACATAGCTACTGTCTGATGATTATTTTGGGTCAGTTGGCATCAAATATTATAAATAAAATAATAACTATAGCTATAAAGTTTTAATTCTCTCTCTAATTCTGACAATAGCAACAGCTATAACAATAACAACAGAAAAACTGCATTCACTTTTAGAAAGTTTTTTTTTCACCTAATGAATGACTAAAAACATTGACAACCAATCAAAATCTGCTCGATTTCAAAGAGCTCAAAAATTAAGTATCAGATTACAAAACTGCAGTGTGCGTTTATAATAAACAGAACATTATTGTCCATTGCATCATGAAAATAATATGCTTCTAGAATTTTTAGACCAGCTCTGAATACGATTCATTAATTTGTTCAAACTTCTATACCTAATGTGCAAGTTGCACCCAGTGTAGGCCCATTTATGACAACAACTCCTCAAACTTCCCTGTTTTGTGGGTTATTTTTGTGTGTATGAAGTAAACTCTGGTGAGAGGCAGTGTGCTGACAGATTGTCAGCTATGAGATGTTGTTTAATGTTGCCCTTTATGCTGTAAGTTTTGTGCAATCTTGTGGGTATAAAATACTGTTGTTGGCAAACTAACAGCCCAATACTCTACATAGCACACACAAATGTTGGCGTAAAATGGCCAATTACAGTTATATTGCACCCTTTTTGCTACTAATTCTAGGTATTAAATGAATTGTTTATCTAAAATATTTAATCCTATTTATAAATATAAGCTATAATATTTCTAATAATGTATATACTCTGTTCATTTGTTTCACTGAGCTCACTGCAGTGTATTCTGGGATTTTTAAGGCGCTATATTGTTTGGTTCCAGAGATACTGGAATTTCAATAAGGCTTCAGGAGTAAATCGTTTAATTGTATGCATTTTCAGTGGGCAAAAACCAAATGTGGGTCATTTTGCATAAATATGATACTACTTTTTTTTTTTTTTTTTTTTTAAAGAGGAGTGTCTGGAGAACAAATAATGTTGACACTAGAGATGCATCTCATTTACTTCTGTCAAAGCAACAATAGTTTAATACAGCTTTGAATGCTTGTTTTTCTTCGCAGATTAGAATGTGTCCTGTTTAATTTGATTAAAATTTTTTTTCTGAAAATCTTATATTTTTACCATGATTTACAGAAGACACCCACTGAAATGTTATTCAGTGTAACAATATTTCATATACCAAAAAGTCTTGTCTGGCATATTTAGATCAAGAATCATTAGATGACATTAAACTACTCTTTTTAAAGGGATAGTTCACTGAAAAATGGAAATTCTGTCATTAATTACTCACCCTCATGTCGTTCCAAACCCGTAAGACCTCCGTTTATCTTCTGGACACATATTAAGGTATTTTTGATGAAATCCGAGAGCTTTCTGACCCTCCATAGACATCAGTGGAACTGAAATGTTCAAGGCCCAAAAAGGTAGTAAGAACATTGTTAAAATAGTCCATGTGACACCAGTGGTTCAACCGTAATGCTATGAAGCTACGAGAATACTTTTTTGTGTGCAAAGAAAATTAAAATATGACTTTATTCAGTAATTCTTCTCCCCTGTATTATTCTGATATTATTTTCATTTATATTCATATCACATAGTAATGTGCAGCAAAATTTAGTAATAAACAGCAATATTTACTATGGCTGGGTATTGATATAGATTTCATTTTTTGATTCGATTATGATTCTCAAGCATTTAGGTACATGTCCGTTTTTCATAAACTCTAAATTATACAGGAAACCCTCTCATTTGGTGCATTACTGTAATATTTACAGATTAAAATGAACAGCAGAACTATAAAATTGCAGTTTACTTTTAGATATAATTAACACTGAGTTTAATACAAAATCTAAACATTTATAGTGCATGCAAGTATGTTTTTATGCCAACTTTCTAGTGATATAATTATGTTTCTACATCAAATTGTTGTTGAAATATAAACATAGTGCAAATATTTAGCAGATCGCTCCTTTTTAGAGTAAATTTTTTAAATTATCGAGCTATGGACACAGAATGGCATTCCTGAGGTAACATTGTTCACAAGCTGTTTTATTTGGTGTCTTTATGCGTTTGATTATATGATACATTTCAGCAAGTTTTACTGTTTCTATCGACACCTTCTCAGGGCTGTCTGAATTACCATATTCTACATCCCTATACCTACCCAATACCTAAACTTAACAGCTACCTTACTATTAAGCGGCAAATTTGGAATTTGTTGAGCCAAAAGTCGTAGTTATTGGTTTGTAAATAATAAGAATTTGACCTTTAAATAAATTGTGACCAAATTTGTTAGCTGCCGAAAGAAAATCTTTTGAAAATCTTGACTTCAAATATGACCTGACACTACAACTTCAAACGATCAAAAACCAGAGGTTTGAAGAAAAACCAGTGACCACATAATATTATCTAGATTTAATAAAATGTTATGTAAATTTTGGTTGATGGTGATCATTTGTAAAAGAAAAAAAAATGGCTCGTTTACATTTGACATTCACATGTTGAAGTCAAAATTCAAACACAACTGCAAACTCAGTTTACATTTGCTTTTCCTATTTATGCAGACAACTCAAAAACTTAAAAACACAGAATAAATAATTGCATTTATATATGCTCATACATGCTCAATGTCAGAAAAACAAGACCTCTTGTTAAGTATCTTTAAATCAATATTACACTGATCAGTACTGACACATGCCATTACAGTCTAAAAATGTAAACTATTTTAGCATTTTAAAATTGTTGGAGTCTGTATGTTATTGTCAAGTCACACCAATTACAGAGAGTTTGTGCACGTTTATTTCACACAATACTTTTTATAAAATTAGCATTAGTTTCAGGTTTCGGCTCAGGCTGTCCAGAATGCTTGGTTTCGGCCGGGATTTTGGATTTTGATTCACTGCAAACCAATTCAAGCCAACCATAGTCCAGCCCACCTTATAATGGGCTAAAGCCACTTTGAGCCAAAATGAACTGAACAGTTCCACACCAAATGCTTTAGTACCCTTAAAAACAGCCCTATGGATCTGTGTTTTGATTTGAACTGAAGTGTTAGAGAAGCTCAGTGGCCATCAACTCACATATGCTGGAGAACAAAGGCTTGTGTGTAGAGCTGAAGTTTGTCAGCCTGTTGCTGGCGGAGCACTTCTCTCACACCCTGATACGATTTGGCACAACATCTGCTCTGTCTCTTCCTCTCTATAAGTCTCGTCTGATTCTAGTGTTTCATTTGAAGCTATTTCAGGTTTTAGGCCTCTTAAAAGTAAAGTCTTTCAGAACTAAACTGAATTCCTGACAAGAAATCTTCCCGCTCCCAGCAGCAGAACCGTTATATGACTGCTAGAACAGCGCTACTGCTGTAACATGATTGAAATATTTAACGAATCATTCATCCAAAAGTGAAAATTCATGATATACTCATCTTCAAGACCATTGGCGATGATATTGTGCCTTGCAGCGTTCAAACTACATGCACCGGGAGGTGCTGCAGATGGCGGAGCTCTACCCCAACGTGAGAGCTACACCCTGGCGCATGGTCACCATCTGGGGCGGGGCCAGTCTGCTGAAGGCCTACCTGCGCAGCATGCATGACCTGCTGTCCATGCTGGACTGGAAATGGGACTTCTTCATCAACCTCAGTGCCACCGACTTCCCCACCAGGTCAGCATCGCCTTAGACAGGGCTCTGGAAAAAAAAAAAAAGGATAATAAAGTCAGTTCTACTGCAATTTGTTTACTAGACCTGGGGTGCCCTAACTTTTTTGTCAGCCGAACCTATTAGACATCAAATATTTAGGCTACTTTAAGTCCCTCTGAGATTTTAAGTTAATATTTCAATAATGTAACAACACATTTGCATTTTGACGGTTCTCTGATGAGGGTTAATGCTCTCAAGACATGCAAGTATACAGATAGTGTATTTTTTAGGAAGTGCTTTCATTGTTTTTATTTGAAAAATATTTCAATGAAATTATTATTTTTGTTAGTTTTGTCTATTTAAAAAAAAAATATATATAAAGACACTACTATTGAAAATTGTATTTTCAATACAAAATACTATTGAGTAAATTCTTTAGTTTCGAACATCAAAGTCTCGAACTTTAAACATTTCAAATACTTGAGCTTTTATTTTGGTTATATGCTGTAAACTTCCGTCCACAAAAATGTTGGAAAATATGCAAATGTTAATAAAGTCAACCTAGAGCACACTCCATTCCCAAATATAAATATTAAAGAGATAGTTTATCCAAAAATGAGAATTCTGTCATTAATTACTCACCCTCATGTCGTTCCAAACCCGTAAGGCCTTGGTTCATCTCCGAAACACAAATTAAGATATTTTTGATGAAATCCGAGAGCTTTCTGACCCTCCATAGACACCAAGGAAACTACCACGATCATTGTCCAGAAACATAGTAAGGACATTGTTAAAATAGTCCATGTGACTTCTGTGGTTCAACCGTAATTTTATGAAGCTACGAGAATACTTTTTGTGCGCAAAGAAAACAAAAATAACAACTTTATTCAACAATTTCTTCTCTATCGTGTCAGTCTTCTGTCAGTCTATTTTAACAATGTCCTTACTATCTTTCTGGGCCTTGCACATGTCAGTTGTCTTGCTGTCTACGCAGGGTCAGAAAGAAAGGATCAGATATCATCAAAAATATTTTAATTTGTGTTCTGAAGATGAACAAAGGTCTTATGGGTTTGGGACGACATGAGGGTGAGTAATTAATGACAGAATTTTCATTTTTGGGTGAACTATTCCTTTAAACTCGCAGCACATTCAGAGATTGAGTTTGTGAGAAACCGCATTTAGTGTGAACCGAGCTGCTCTGAGACCACCGTATCATGCGTAAATCTGTTACAGTTTTATAATCATTAATTGTGCAGCCCTTTTTAATTTTACACTCAATTCTATTCATTATTAGCTTTTCATTGACTCCCCCAATCTTTGAAACCCTGGACTAGTCAGTTGTTGGATGAAGCCATTTCAGAAGGTTGTTAGGATGATGTCTTCAGTGCTATCTTCCTGAAGGAGGCAATCCCAAAATGCATTGCTATGAGGTCAGTGAAAAAGCATGAGATGGATTGATGGTACTAATTTTAAGAGATACATATGGAGGAGCCTTCCCTTGAGCTTGTGTCTGAAGACGTCAAGTCAGAGTCGCTCTCATTGTGTGCTAGCGTGATGATGCTGGCAAATCGGTCTCTTTCTCTGCAGTCTGTTTCGGGAGGATTTCTCTAACACATCAGAGCCTTACAATTTCACAATCCCTCCAGCTGTTGATGCTTTTTCTTTTTTAAAGCAAGCTAAATAAGCCAAATCGGTGTACATGGCCTGATGCACATGTAGACGTTGATACCGACCAAATCCTGTCAGCAGCAGCTAATTCCTTCCAGATGAAGACTTCACCCACACCACCCTGCAGTCAGCACTGGGTTTCTGACATAATCCCTCGCTTTTATCTCTTCTCTCCTCTCCTCTCTCACTATCATCTAAAACAGGACCAACGATGAGCTTGTGACTTTTCTCTCCCAGAACCGTGACAAGAACTTCCTGAAGTCGCACGGCAGAGAGAACGCAAGGTAAACTCATTTTAGATTCAACTCTAAGGGTTATTCCAGGTCGGGTAACTAGTTCTGATATACTGTCTGCATCTAGGGATGCTCTAAATGCATCACAGATTATCTACTTTGATTGTGGGTGGGGATTATGCAGTTTTGTTTTTCTTTGGATCAGAGTGAATTCATTCACAGAATTAATCAAACTTACTTATTGAAGCATCTCTGTTTTGATGCTTTCGTAATCACAAATCATAAGCCTTCAAGAAGCTTGATGTCCAAACAGTATGGATTAAAAACATTGTTCTATTCATACTGTTGCCTAATTATGCACAACAGTTAAGTCATTTAAAAAACAAAGACACATTACATTTTCCTGTTTCAAATAAATGCTGTTTTTCAAACTTTAAATTCATCAAATAATCCTGAAAATAATGCATCACAGTTTCCACAAAAATATGAAACAGCACAACTTTTTTCAACATTGCTAATAATACAAAAATGTTTATTGAGAATCAAATCAGCATATTATAATGATTTCTGAAGGATCATGTGACACTGAAGACTGGAGTAATGACTGCTGAAAATTCAGCTTTGCTTCACAGGAATAAATTACATTTTAAAATATATTACAATAGAAAATAGCTATTTTAAATTGTAATCATATTTTCACAGTTTTACTGTATTTTAGATCAAATAAATGCAGATTTGGTGAGCATGAGAGACTTAAAAAACATTTAAAAAAAAAACTATTTGTGTGTCCATGATAAATAAGGATGTCTGAGACAATGAAAAGAAAAATATAGTTTTAAAATTGCCTAATTATTAAAAAAAATTATCCTTGTTTTCAAGTTGCTTTCATATGTTAGAATAAAAAAAATGATTTATTGACAAGTGGTGTAATGAAGTAATAACCTTTACCTTACATGTAATAAATGCATGTACAAAAAGTTTTCAAACATTCTTTACAAAAATATTGAGTATTTGAATCATGAATTACATTGAAATATAAAAAAATTAATTTGCACTATCCTTTCCATGCCTAAAAATAAAACGGTAGATAATTTTTTTTATAACTTACTAATTGCTTTACACACCGGTTTACAAGTGTCCTCTTATCATTTCTGTTTGTTTGTTTGTTTGTTGGATGGTTGGTTGGTATTTTGGTTGGTTTTACACAATGATTTGGATTTGGAGGTCAATAATAAAAGACTGGTCCAAACTATTTTTAGATTTTTTTTTTCTCTTTCTATTCAGGAATTTCGGCCTTTTAATGAGAGCCTCGTTCGGCCTTTCCTGTCATTCATTATGATTTTGGGATAGTTACACCATCTTGACACTTTTGACATCCCTCAAATAAATAATGCAACCTAACTAGCCGTGACCGTGTTTATCATGGCATCAGTCACCATCCTGCTCTCTCCTGTCACGTAGGTTCATTAAGAAGCAGGGTTTGGACCGCCTGTTCCACGAATGTGACAACCACATGTGGCGTCTGGGCGAGCGCACCATCCCCGAGGGGCTGGAGGTGTCAGGAGGCTCGGACTGGTTCTCTCTCACGCGCAAGTTTGTGGAGTATGTGGTAAACTCACAGGACGAGCTGGTGACGGGGCTCAAGCAGTTTTACACCTACGCTCTTCTGCCTGCTGAGGTACTGGACTAATAAAATAAAATAATAAAAGATGATATGGCCCATTTAAAGAAGCAGGATGAATCACTGTTATTGTTGTGGCTTAATCTGGTTTAATCATAGCACAGCAGTGAGCAGGAAACATTAAGCGCTGTGTCCCTGAGGGTAAGTAATTCCTCTCTGTCTGGTTTTCAGTCTTTCTTTCACACAGTGCTGGGAAACAGCCACATATGCGATACTTTGGTCGACAATAATCTGCGTGTGACCAACTGGAACCGGAAATTGGGCTGCAAGTGCCAATATAAGCACATTGTGGACTGGTGCGGCTGTTCACCAAATGACTTCAAACCCTCAGACCTCATCAGAATACAGGTCAGTGAACCGTTAAGTGATCCCTTCAGACATAGGGAGTCAGAAGCCACACAATATTGAAACGATCACAGTGGGCCTCATTCACTAACCATGCATATGAACAATGTGTACAACTTGCACTCTATTATTAGTGAATGGGAATCAGTGCCTTTCTTAGCAAATTGCCTTTTCTTGCTAGATCATAGATATTGACACCATCTCAACCCCTCTTTTCTCCCATGACAGCAACTAACCCGGCCCACGTTCTTCGCCCGTAAGTTTGAGTCCACGGTGAACCAGGAGTCTATTGAGATTCTGGACAATCATCTGTATGGGCAGTACCCTCCAGGCACAGTGGCACTGAAAGCGTACTGGGAGAGCCTATTCGAGCAGGCTGATGGGGTCTCATCCCTCAATGATGTGACCCTCACAGCGTACTCCTCCTTCTTTAGACTGGGCCTCCGTAAGCAGGAGACCACTCAAAGCAGTTCTGAGGCCTGCAGGTGACGGTCCCAACCATCCAATCCATCCATCCCAATTCGTTCCACCCAATCCATCCATTCTTCCAGTCAGTCCCTCCATCCCTCATATCCATTGCTTAAATCCACCCCTCTATTCCCAATCCATCCATCTATCCAGTCCATCCCAATCGTTCTATCCCAATCCATCACTCTATCAAAATCCATCCTTTCATCCCAATTCAACCATCTATACAATCATCTCAGTCTTTCTATCCCAATCCATCCTTCCATCAAAATCCCTCCTTCCATCCCAATCCATCCATCTATCTAATCCATCTCAATCTTTCTATCCCAATCCATCCCTCCATCAAAATCATCCTTCCATCCCAAGCTATCCATCTCTACAGTCCATCCCAATCATTCTATCCCAATCCATCCCTCTATCAAAATCCCTCCTTCCATCTATCTAATCCATCTCAATCTTTCTATCCCAATCCATCCCTCCATCAAAATCCTTTTTCCATCCCAAGCCATCCATCTATGCATTCTATCCCAATACATCCCTCCATCCCAATTCATCCATCTATCCAATCCATCTCAATCTTTCTATCCCAATCCATCCCTCCATCCCAATCCATCTATCCAATCCATCCCAATCTTTCTATCCCAATCATCCCTCCACCAAAATTATCCTTCCATCTATCCCTCCATCCCAATCCATTAATCTATCCAATCCATCCCAATCTTTCTATCCCAATCCATCCCTCCATCAAAATCCATCCTTCCATCCATCCATCAGTCCATCCCAATTCCTCTATCCCAATACATCCCTCCATTAAAATCCCTCCATCCTTCCATCCATCCATTTATCCAAACCATTCCAATCCCTCTATCCCAGGGCTGGGCAACTTCAGTCCTGGAGGGCCACTGTCCCGCAGAGTTTAGCTTCAACCCTAATCAAACACACCTGGACAAGCTAATCAATGTCTTCAAGATTACTAGAAAGCTACAGATGTGTTTGATTAGGGTTGGAGCTTAACTCTGCATGACAGTGGCACTCCAGGACCGAAGTTGCCCAGCCCTGCTCTATCCCAATCTATCCCTCAATGATGTGCCCCTCACGGCGTACTCCTTCTTCTTTAGATTGGGCCTCCGTAAGCAGGAGACCATTCACAGCAGTTCTGATGCCTGCAGGAGACAGTCCCAACCATCCAATCCATCCATCCCAATTCGTTCCACCCAATCCATCCATTCTTCCAGTCAGTCCCTCCATCCCTCATATCCATTGCTTAAATACACCCCTCTATTCTCAATCCATCCATCTATCCAGTCCATCCCAATCTTTCTATCTCAACCCGTCCCTCTATCCCAGTCCCTTTATCTCAAACCATACATCCAGTTCTCCAGTCCAGTCATCAGATGATTAATTTGATTAATTGTTTTTACAGGTTTGAACCTATTGGCTACACCGTCTCTGTGCACCTGTATTTTTATGATGACCGTTTCCAGGGTTACCTGGTCAGGCAGGAGGTGCAGAATGTGGTGACCAGGTCCCGTGAGATGCTGGAGGTGTGGGCTGTTCCTCAAGCAACTCTGCAGCTGGAACACAACCTTCATGAGTTTGAGCGCCTCAAACACCTTGAGGTGAGAAGAACAGGGAGCCCATTATACATTTTTTGTATACTTCACAGTCACAATTTAAAGGAAATAGCGACAGATTATTTCTTCTGTATTGTAACGTACATTGGAGTAAAATGGATTATTAGAATAAAAAAGCACAGGGACTTTTTCTATGCATCGGCTATTGATTGGATGGGGGCAGATCTGAATGCGAGCTTGCCATCAATTGTAAGGAAGGGGCAGGGTTTAAGAGGCCAAAATAATTAGAAGAAGTATATATCACCACATCAAAGTTTATTGTTTTACTGGAAGATCCAGGTATGACGTTTTAATTAAACATTATAAAGTAAAAAATAAAATGCATACATGAATCAAACAAAAAGTGCCTTTACAGAATAGAGTAAATTAATTCTTTAGTTCTTTAACATCGTATAATTTGTGCATGCTGTTTTGTACCAGGTCGGAACCGAGTGGGACCCAAAGGAGCGAATCTTCCGTAACTTCGGTGGTGTGATGGGACCTCTAGATGAGCCGGTGGCAGTTCAGAAGTGGGCTCGTGGACCCAACCTGACAGCCACCATAGTGTGGATTGACCCAGCACACATAGTAGCAGCCTCCTATGACATCAGCATAGATGTTGAGGCAGAGTTTACGCAATATAAGCCACCGCTTCAGCGCCCCCTCAGGCCTGGAGTGTGGACGGTGCGTGTGCTGCGGTTGTGGGAGCGTGTAGCAGAAGCTCGGTTTCTGGTCATGCCTCTGGCCTTCAAGGGACGTGAGCCCCTGCGAACAGGTGAGACATCAACGAGAAATATTACAATTTAAAATAACCGTTTTCTATTTGAATATATTTTAACATAGAGGATGAATTTTCAGCATCATTACTCCAGTCTTCAGTGTCACATGATTCTTCAGAAATCATTCTAATATAATTTGCTGCTCAAGAAACTTTTCTTATTATTAAACATCCTGCTACATATTTTTGTGGCAACCATGATAAATTTTTTTAGGATTCATGTATTTGTAATAGAAATCTTTTGTTACATTATAAATGCCTCTACTGACACTTTTGGTCAGTTTAATGCATCCTTGCTAAATAATTAATTCCTAAAAAAAAAAAATTATATATATATATATATATATATATATATATATATATATATATATATATATATATATATATATTATATATATACATACATACACACACACTAACCCCAAACTTTTGAACAGTATTTTATCTATATATTCAGATTTTATTTAATTATATAAAATAATATAATATTTTTAGCAACATTGTTACTAGTAGTTAATGTTCCTGTTATTTGGCCAATACATTTCATAAATGATCAACGTTCCTGATTTAAACTTTGTAGACATATAAACAGTAGTAAAAGTGCTGGGGACTTATTGGCACATGGGTCAACCAGAAAAATTAAAAATGGCACTTCATGCCCAAAAGGTTGCCGACCCCTGTTATAAATGATTAAATATCATTCTTCCTTGTGTTCATTTAGTAGAAAAAAAAATTAAAAAACATCCCTTTGCTATTTTAAAAATTATTTTTACATCAAATATGAAATTTTAGAATAAATACATAAATATTATAGATATAGGTATATATCGAGTATAATACAGCATTCAGTTGACTTGACTATTATAGCTTCCTGTTTTATTGTTTTATTGAGTGCAAATAAATATTCATAGGCTACTGACCTTTATCTCTCTTCTCTTCTCTTCTCTTCTCTTCTCTTCAGAAGACCATGGTTGGGTACACGCAGGTCCACCAGGTAACGTGTATTTGGATCAAAGCTTCCAGCAGCTCACCCACGTGTTGAAGCTGCCGCCCAGTGAGCCCGCCCTGCAGGAGGCGCAGAAGAAGACCTCCCTGGTGGGGAAGCCGCTGGAGACCTGGGTGGACAGCTCTGTCGGGGCTTTCTGGGTCACGGGAGACATTTGCTCTGAGCAGACCTCCTCCTGTCCCACCATAGGACTCTGCACAAAGACCTCTTGGAGTTCCTTGTCCCCTGACCCCAAATCAGAACTGGGGCCAGTCAAAAAAGACGGTCGCATTAGGTAGCCTTGCAAGCTCGAACAAATGGAGCAGAGCGCCGAAGGCCCTGAAGAACTGTCCACAAGAGTGAAGATTACGAGTCGTGGTCTTTCAGATCATCCCATTACTAGTCAAGGCACCTTCTGTTGAGGGTGGGAACTGGTTGAGGGTGAATCTACGAGAGAGAAAAAACGTTTAAATTTGCACAAGAAGACTGCCAGAAGTGGACATGTGTGAGTCTTGCTTTTATAAATCAATGTTTAGATGTCATCTAAATACGTTGTTACAAGGTTCGGAGTCTTATTAGCACATAGTTTACGGTGTGGGTTTGTGATACAAAGACCCAAATCTCAACGATTTTACACTTTTATTCTTTGTTACGAGAAAAAATCTGCACATTATTTTCCTCTGTAAGACAGTGGTCGAAATTGGTATTTGAAGCTGTTGGAGGCAAGTGGCTGGAGTCCTCTGGCTGTATCGCAATGCTTATTTTGAAGCATTAATATCAAAACTTCGGAATCAGATTGAAGAAGTGCACTTTACTGTAAGAAAGAGCTCCCGCCTGATTGGCTGAGTCAGCAGAGGAGGCGGAGCTTGTAGAATTGTCATGAATTTCTGCCAATGGATTGATATGTTCTCTCACTTTACGTGATTCAGCTGCTCGGAGACGCAGCACTGCATGGACTCATCGTATACAGCAACAAAACAAACACTAATGAAATCCTGTCCGTCACGAAACAAGAGTCTGAGTTTTGTAATACTGTGACTTTGTCGTCGTTGAATGTCCTTTGAGTTGAAAAACTCCTCATCTGGAGGACCTGCTTTGTCCGTTACTGCAACGTTTGCTCAGCGGCGCACAAATCGCAAAGTACGAGGATGTGGATTGAAATGATTGAGACTGCCTGAAGATCTGACCCTGCTGAAGATCAGTCCGTGATCTGTCGCTCATGCATACACTTGTGCTTGTATACCGTGTTACAGTATTTCACACTTAATTCTGGTCTTCCACTAGTTTGGTTCTCAACTACGAATAATTTTTAACACTCTGTCCTGAACTGAAGCTGGTGTAGAACAGCAGAAGAGCTGGAGACTTGAGTTACACTTGCTGCTCCAGTGTACACATTTAAAGGAATATTTCACATAATCATGTCAATCTTTTTGACTTTCTTCTGTGGAACACAAAAGAAGACCTTACAAGCAATGGTCAGATGATTGAATGAATGGAAATGATTTGTTTGCTATATTTCAAGTCTTGAGAAACAAAGTTCTCCCCCTCCTATATACAGTGGGTACGGAAAGTATTCAGACCCCCTTAAATTTTTCACTCTTTGTTATATTGCAGCCATTTGCTAAAATCATTTAAGTTAATTTTTTTTCCTCATTAATGTACACACAGCACCCCATATTGACAGAAAAACACAGAATTGTTGACATTTTTGCAAATTTATTAAAAAAGAAAAACTGAAATAACACATGGTCCTAGATTTTAGCAAATGGCTGCAATATAACAAAGAGTGAAAAATTTAAGGGGGTCTGAATACTTTCCGTACCCACTGTATCTTCAAAAAAAAAATTCCATTTCCATATTCAAAGCTCTGCCACTCTGTCAAATCATGAGACATGCAAGAACCAATGGCAATTGGTGTCATTAAAACAACCCAACCGCTGGGTCAAAACAACCCAATAGCTGGGTTTGTCCCTTTTTAACCCAGCATTTTTTAGAGTACATCCATGTTGAGTTTATGCACATATCACCCGTTTCCATTGAGGATTGCAAAATTTGCATTGAAAACCCAGCAATGTCAAAACAAGCCAAATTTGAAAATGCAAAAATGCAAGATTTCAGAGTTATGATGGAGAGGGCGATTTTCAGTCAGTAACTTAGTTCAACCAAAAATGAAAACTCTGTCATCATTTACTCGCCCTCATGATGTTCCAAAGCTTCAAGACCTGAATACTTTCCGTACCCACTGTATCTTCAAAAAAAAATTCCATTTCCATATTCAAAGCTCTGCCACTCTGTCAAATCATGAGACATGCAAGAACCAATGGCAATTGGTGTCATTAGATGGAAAACCATCAAAATATTTAACTTTTTTTTTTTTTAAATGCACATTTCTGAAAATTAAGCTAAAAATCGCATGCAACAAAATCGTTTGTTTTGACCCAGCGGTTGGGTTCAAAACAACCCAATAGCTGGGTTTGTCCCTTTTTAACCCAGCATTTTTTAGAGTACATCCATGTTGAGTTTATGCACATATCACCCGTTTCCATTGAGGATTGCAAAATTTGCATTGAAAACCCAGCAATGTCAAAACAAGCCAAATTTGAAAATGCAAAAATGCAAGATTTCAGAGTTATGATGGAGAGGGCGATTTTCAGTCAGTAACTTAGTTCAACCAAAAATGAAAACTCTGTCATCATTTACTCGCCCTCATGATGTTCCAAAGCTTCAAGACTTTGGTTTATCTTTGAAACATAAATACATTTTTAATGAAACCTGAAATATTTTTGTTAATCCACTTACATTCAACCAAAATCAAACCACTTCCGCATTGATCTCCGATACACGTTTAAGGGAGAATTGCACTCCGTAATGCACTCTTACTGATTTCTTTCAGCTGTGGTATACAAGAAATTCACACTTTAGCACCATCTTGAAAAATAAACCAAGCCCTATAGCAAAATCAGCTATGTAACGAACAAAACGTGCATACATAGTTTTTTTGCACACACAAAACAAATAAAATTGGGATTATACCACTGCAGTCACTGCAGGGATTGCTTTTATGATTCCTTTAATTACCTTTTTGAAGCTTGAAAGCGTTGGTTGAATGGAATTTCAATGGTGGTTTGATTAAAAATATCTTCATTTTTGTTTCGAAGATGAATTAAAGTCATACAAGTGTGGAGTGACATAAGTGAATGTTCTAATTCTGGGTGAGCTTCAGTTTGTTTCCCACACAAAGCTATCGTTAAAATAGTGTGCGTGAGTCATATAGACTTGAGGTATATTTGTGCTTTTTAGAGCCTGACAGCTTCAGCAGATTTTACGTTCTGCTTCTTTTTGTGTTCCACTGAAGAAAGTAATTCAGGTTTTGGCACATGATAACAGAATTTTTTTCTTTTTTTTAGTGAGCGGTCCCTTAAAATTCAGAATACAGTTCAGATTGGAAATGATCAGTATCCGTTCTAATGTGTCATAGCTGCTTGTTACTGTTTTTAACCACCCACGTTTGTCCATTTATGTGTGCTGTTTTGCTTTCTCGCCTTTCAATGAAGACACTAGGAAACGTAAGTTCAAACAAATGTGTCTTGTTCGACATGCTGCTTTTATTTGGCAAATATAATGCTTCTTTTACGGTAGATTTTAAGTGTCCCGTGTTTCAAAGGGGTTGTTTCAGGTTTTGATTTACTGAGAAGAAAACTCTGTTCTTTTGTGTTTTAGGTTTAAAGTGTCCTTTTTCTCTTCATGTATGTGCTTCGGTGAAGCTTTTGTGGTATCAGAAGAAACAAGTGAAATTAGGATGTAAAGAATGGATGAATGAATGAATGCTATTTTTGTATTTAAAGTCATATTTTAACCTGTCGGTGAGAACTTGAGAATGCTGCTTCAGCTTTTGTTTTACGTTCATCATCAGTCTCACCGGGTCTCTGTGGGGTGTGAACATCAGTCTTAACCTGAAAGTTTGAGACACATTGAACCCGAGCCTTTTTATGGCCGATGGGTAGCAACAGATGGCACATGATGGCACAATAAAGATGTGAAATCCAGTCACATTGTCATGTTTTATTTATTTGTTGATTGGGAAAATGTTTAAGCTGAATTTACACGATTGTAATTTGATTCACATTTTACTAAAGCCTATTTGTATACACTGGTCAAATGTTTGAAGTCAGTAAGACTGTATGGTTTTTGTTTTTTTTAAAAAAGTCTCATACTCTGCATTTATTTGGTCAAAATACAGTAAAAACAGTAATAACATTTACATTTTTAAATGTAATCTATTATTGTAATCATATACTCCAGTCTTCAGTATCACATGATCATTCAGAAATCATTATAATATGCTGATTTGAGCTCAAGATACATTTATGATTATTATAAATGTAGGAAACGGTTGTGCAGCGTAATATTTTTTTGTGAAAACCGTCATAGATTTATTTTTTTCGGATTCTGGTTATGAATCGAAAGTTCGAATAGCTCCAGAAAGCAAGTATTATTACAGTTTAAATAGCAAGTTACTAGTGAATTGAAAATAGTTACTAAAACCAATAATTCAAAAGAATAATTGGCATTCCGACTATTATGCATATTTTTCATATTATATGCTTTAATATAATTTTAAATATTAAATACTACATTTTGAAAAGATGAATAAATATCCTAAAAGAAATATCCTAAAAGCCAGATCCTTGATGACATCCTTTTTCAGGAAGTGACAACTATAGATATATATGCGTATATATATATGTATATATATGCACATTCAACGGCTCCAGACACTTCAACATGTCCACCTTGGAACTGTCAACATGTTGTCAATCACAGTAAAACACTTATATAGTGTTTTATATATATATATATATAACCCAGTATTGCAGGTCTTTATGGGAACTTTTTGATGTGCATTTTTTTTAATGTGTTAGAAACGGATGCTAATGAGGAATCTAATGTTAATATGCTAATGCTAATAAATGTTGTCACCATATATATATATATATATACAGTGGGGGAAAAAAAGTATTTAGTCAGCCACCAATTGTGCAAGATCTCCCTCTTAAAAAGATGAGAGAGGCCTGTAATTTTCATCATAGGTATACCTCAACTATGAGAGACAAAATGAGAAGAAAAAATCCAGAAAATCACATTGTAGGATTTTTAAAGAATTTATTTGCAAATTATGGTGGAAAATAAGTATTTGGTCAATAACAAAATTTCATCTCAATACTTTGTTATATACCCTTTGTTGGCAATGACAGAGGTCAAACGTTTTCTGTAAGTCTTCACAAGGTTTTCACACACTGTTGCTGGTATTTTGGCCCATTCCTCCATGCAGATCTACTCTAGAGCAGTAATGTTTTGGGGCTGTCACTGGGCAACACGGATTTTCAACTCCCGCCAAAGATTTTCTATGGGGTTGAGATCGGGAGACGGGCTAGGCCACTCCAGGACCTTGAAATGCTTCTTACGAAGCCACTCCTTCGTTGCCCGGGCGGTGTGTTTGGGATCATTGTCATGCTGAAAGACCCAGCCACGTTTCATCTTCAATGCCCTTGCTGATGGAAGGAGGTTTTCACTCAAAATCTCACGATACATGGCCCCATTCATTCTTTCGTTTACACAGATCAGTCGTCCTGGTCCCTTTGCAGAAAAACAGCCCCAAAGCATGATATTTCCACCCCCATGCTTCACAGTAGGTATGGTGTTCTTTGGATGCAACTCAGCATTCTTTCTCCTCCAAACACGACAAGTTGAGTTTTTACCAAAAAGTTATATTTTGGTTTCATCTGACCATATGACATTCTCCCAATCCTCTTCTGGATCATCCAAATGCTCTCTAGCAAACTTCAGACAGGCCTGGACATGTACTGGCTTAAGCAGGGGGACACATCTGGCACTGCAGGATTTGAGTCCCTGGCAGCGCAGTGTGTTACTGATGGTAGCCTTTGTTACTTTGGTCCCAGCTCTCTGCAGGTCATTCACTAGGTCCCCCCGTGTGGTTCTGGGATTTTTGCTCACAGTTCTTGTGATCATTTTGACCCCACAGGGTGAGATCTTGCGTGGAGCCCCAGATCAAGGGAGATTATCAGTGGTCTTGTATGTCTTCCATTTTCTAATAAGTGCTCCCACAGTTGATTTCTTCACACCAAGCTGCTTACCTATTGCAGATTCAGTCTTCCCAGCCTGGTGCAAGTCTACAATTTTGTTTCTGGTGTCCTTTGACAGCTCTTTGGTCTTGGCCATGGTGGAGTTTGGAGTGTGACTGTTTGAGGTTGTGGACAGATGACTTTTATACTGATAACGAGTTCAAACAGATGCCATTAATACAGGTAACCAGTGGAGGACAGAGGAGCCTCTTAAAGAAGAAGTTACAGGTCTGTGAGAGCCAGAAATCTTGCTTGTTTGTAGGTGACCAAATACTTATTTTACCGAGGAATTTACCAATAAATTCTTTAAAAATCCTACAATGTGATTTTCTGGATTTTTTCCCCTCATTTTGTCTCTCATAGTTGAGGTATACCTATGATGAAAATTACAGGCCTCTCATCTTTTTAAGTGGGAGAACTTGCACAATTGGTGGCTAACTAAATACTTTTTTGCCCCACTGTAT